CACGAAATGTAGCAGGCTGCCCAGGCCACCCGTTCAAGTACAGTAACCTGTGACAGAAATAAATCATTTACAAACTGTAACCAGGTCACAATGCGCTGAGGTCAAGAATATTTCCTGCCACACAGTATTAATTAATTTCTCTCTCTCTCTCTGAATCTCCTAATCTCTCTCACTCTCCATCTCCTAAGGGTGAAAATAGAACAAAAATGACATATTGAGCAGGTATATGTGAAGTCTTAAGCAACATTAATCAACTTGAAGAGTCAGGTGGGGGTCACATGATCAGAGAGAATGGCCTCTTAAAGTGCCAGTGGCCACTGTCTGAAGTTAGCAGAGCGATGAGTGTGTGACGAAGCTATATAAATACAGGCCATTTATCTCCTTCATCCTCCAGCAAGTTATCCTGGCACTAAGACACATATGGACTTCTCCAAGCTCACATTTCAGACTTGCTCTTGAATCGGACGTGAAAATCAATGCAGACTATTACTAAATGCTGTGAGGTCACTGGGGACATATATATAATTATTTTAAGGTGATTACTTGGAAAAAAACTAAGAAAAATATATATTTATATTTAGACATAGAACTATGTATATTTTGTGTATTGCATTTTAATAAGCTAAAACATTAACTACGCAGCACTCCAGTGTTTGAGGTTTATCATTACATTTGGCTCCAGTAACATCCACCCACCTGCTCTGAGCTCGGCTTCCCCCGGTACTTCCACCTGTGAGTTAATCATATCAACATTTTATGCCTGATGCCTGCAGGAAATTATAAATGTGTTTATCTTGGAAGCTAGTCATTTTACACAAAAATACACTCCAATTTCTGTGGAAATAATAACATTGTAATGTTTCCTGCTAAATATCTGTCAACAGCTCCGCAAAAGTTGCTAATCTCATGACCTGTGACGATGGTGCCCTATTGTAAAGGACAGATGGCACGTTAGGCATCATGTTTGTGAGAGAGACAGGTCAGGAATAGTCGTGGCTGTCATGGAGGACTAGTGACTAATGCCACAAGAGCAGATATCAGACTAATATTGTTCTGTGACTAACATCCTGACAACCTCAAGGTCTTCAGAGTGTATCAGTTTACTGTCCATGATTACCAGCCAGCGTGCCTCTTTTTTTCAACTGGTAATTTGTGAACATTTCCTCTGGACTGAGTTGCAAGAAACTAACATGATTTTCAGTGCATAATAAAAGCACAAGGCTGGCTGGTGTCAGGACTGAGACTGAGGCCGTGACTGTGACAACCCATAATTAAAAAGTCTCCATAGTCTTTAATTGTTGCATCAAATCCTTATAAATGAAATTACACGTCAGTTTAATGCACACTGTAAAACATCTGACTGTGAATGTGACAGCATATTACTGGCTACTACTTATCATACTGGTATATATTGTAAAATCACAGTATCTCATTTAGATGGAATTAATTTCAGTACTATTATGGTAAACTCCTGTTAAACTCTCATTTGTGACAGTCAGCAAATCCTTCATCATTTGGCCCACATGGATAAATGTGGGTTAAAAAAAAAACAAAAGACATTCAAAAACAAAACAACTGCTGATCATTGTGGGATCCCACCATGCTATACGATCCTGTTATTTCATTTTTTATGTTTTGTTATGAGTGAAAATGACCTTTCATGGTCATGACTAGCATGCATTTTGCTGTAAAAGTATGAATATAGTATTTTATTATAAAGTATCACAGCTAGATCTTCATTGTTTATTCATTAACATTTATTTTAAATGATTAATTAAAAAATCCAAAATAATTAATTTATGAATTAAAAATGAAGAATGAACTGTGATATTTTTACTATAAAATACTGTATTATATTCAGAAATGTACTGTAAATTCAAAAACAGATGTTATTTCATAGTGCACTGTATTTTTTGTCCTGAATTTGTAAATAATACAGAGATCATTGGAGTATATTTTACAAGAATATACTATTGACACTATAAAAATAGAAATTTTTCACCACCAAACTTTTTTTTATTTTTTAGTGTAGGATCACATATATGGGAGCATTCCCATAAGGCCTTGCAGTTGATTAATTCAATTTTAAAATAAAGTATAAAGTGCAAAGTCTTACAGTCACACTGTATGTGTATTCCACCAAATTGTTGAACTGATTTCACTGTACATTTCTGAATATAGTATTGTACTGTAAAATATTACCGTTAAAACTGGGAATTATAATAATTGTTCTCGGCAAAGAAGGAGCGCGTGTAATTTAATTGCTCCCTTCCTGCGTTTAAGTGCGAACTGTAGTTTCGATTTGAGGAATTGGCCTGCTATAGATCTGAGATCCGCTAGTGAGCGACGCCTCGTGGTACCATCACAGAGAGGCTCAAAATCACTTTCCAGAACATTCTCGTTCACCATTCCTGGCTGGTGGAACGATCTTCCCACCCCTATCCGGAATGCTGAATCCCTGACAATTTTCAAGCGACAGCTGAAAACTCATCTCTTTCGAAGCTACTTGACTTCATCATCATCATTATAAAAAAAAAAAAATAATTTCTCTCTCTTTATTTATTCCTTCTCTTTCTAGCTTGTACTTATTTGAACAATGTCTAGAAACTTTTCTAGATATTACAATAATACATCTAGGTATTACAAGCACTTCCTGTATCTGTTTGCCTCTTTAAGAAGAATCGCTTTATGTATCCCCAAATTGTAAGTCGCTTTGGATAAAAGCATCTGCAAAATGACTAAATGTAAATGTAAACCTATAATTATTTATTAAATGTTTTAGATTATACATCATTTTAGAAATTAAATGCAAGTGCTTATGTTATTCCCCTATTGTAACATGTTATCTTATGAGTGAATATGACCTTGTGTGCACTGAATTCATAGTCAAATTTTGAAAATAGTAATTTACTGTAAAATATTAGTTAAACCATATAAAATGCTTGCAGTGTTTTACAGTACAGAGCAAGTGAAAATGAGAGAAGCTAGATTCACACTTCTGCCGTTGTGCCGATATCCCACACAAGACTGTGAGTTTGCTCTGGATATAGTTACATCTCCCACACAGAGCCTCACACTCCAGTGCATCAGTGCGACCTGGCTGTTAAAAGCAATGAGAGCGAACATGTCATCAATCCCATTCTTCTGTGAGACTGCACGTTCTGACTGCGCGAGAGAGAAACGAGCGAAAAGCCCATTGCTTGTTTTATCATCTTTGAATCTCATGACATGCTCCTGCTGTTTTATTTCTGGCGTCTAAGCAATCAGCCATAGAAGAAAACAAGCCTGCCTTGATATCATCTTCAGAGCTCATTTACTTGTCTTTCTTATTTTTTTTATTTTCCGTTCATTCGATGAAGATGCTTTTTTCTCTGTTAGATTCCTCCATGTAAACTCTAATCACACTATTATTAACATCTACTCACATACACAAATATATAATTTACATTTATATAATAAGAGTTGATTATATTTCTCTGTGCAGCTGAAAGCTGTTGACGGATATTCCTCTCTGTGGATTTCATGATTATGTGCAGTTGACGTGCCCAATTCTTATATGCTCTTGATTCAGTCTCATTAACACGCAGCAGTAAATCAGCGGGACCATACTGAGAGTGTATATTTGTGTGTGTGTTGTTTTAAATGAGTGAGCGCTGACAATCTGACTCCTGTCCTGGTCAAATAGTGACATAAATAAACATGAGAGCTATTTTAGGCTATCTCATAAGCCCTCTGCCATTTCGTTTCCATATAAAAATATTCAAAAAGTTCTTGAAACAAGTCCAGAGATTCCATTTGTGTCAGATGAATCTGATCTGAATGGCCATACAGTACAATTGTCCAGTCCTTGGATGTAAACTAATAAATCTGTACTATTAATGTCATAACATTATTTTGTCTGTTGTGTATTTAGTCTAGTGATATCATTATTAAAATATGAGATATTCAGACAATATCCATGTCTATATATCAGGGTTGTACACAATTCAGAGTTTAAGAATGGGCTCCCTTTCAGTTCAATGAGTGTGAATTAGAATTCAATTGCTCACACCCCACAGGAAATTGCTTTGGAATACAAAAAAAAAAATTTACTGAATTGTAATTTAAAAAATATATATTACAATTTAAAATAACTGTTTTCTATTTTAATATATTTTAAAATGTAATTTATTCCTGTGATGCCAAAGCTGAATTTTCAGCAGCCATTACCCCAGTCTTCAGTATCACATGATCCTTCAGAAATCATTCTAATATGCTGATTTGGTGCTCAAGAAACATTTATTATTATTATAACAGTTGTCCTGCTTAATATTTTTGTGGAAACTGTGATGCATTTTTCTTTTCAGGATTCTTCCTTGAGTAGAAAGGAACAGCATTTATTCAAAATATAAATCTTTTGTTACATTATAAATGTCTTTACTGTCACTTTTGATAAATTTAATACATCTTTGTTGAATAAAAGTATTAATATTTTCAAGGCGTTCAAAGTAGGCCATTAAGCCACATTTAAACTCTTGCTTTTCTAATAAAAAGTTTGTATACATTTATTTGAATTTCAGTTTATTTTAATTAACTATCTTACATTGAAATTCAAATTACAGTTATACATATTTAAAAGGCAATCACAACACACAACCCTGGAAACCATAAGGTGTCCCTTTTATCATTTTATGAATCAGAAGGGCCACCTTTTGAAGCTCAGTGTGCCCATTTGCCACCCCCACACTCTAATGCAGACTATTACCCAAAAGCCCAGGCAGTAAAATGTACAGTCAGAAGAAGACCGCAAAGGTTTTTAGACCTAAATCTGTTTAAGCAACTATTTTTCATTTTTAAAAAAAATGCCATAGTTTGTTTGATCGAAACTATATACATTGATCTAACCATTGTAATGTGGAGTCTTTCACAAAGTCACATGTAATTATGATCTTAATACAAATATTTGGTTAATATACCTAAAAACTGTGCTATGCTATACTGTTTTTGTGCTGCTTATACAGGTATAGAGGGTATGGAGTGCTCTTTGCCCACCGATGGACGGCGCGTGCCTCTCAGCCAGCTCTCCCAGGACAGTTTTCGGGAGTGCCAGATCACCCTCACCCTCACCGATTTCCTCATCATCATTTTCTCAGGCATCTCCGTCTCAGTGGCCGCCATCATGGCCAGCTTCTTCCTGGCGTCCACCGTCCACTGTTTTCAGCGCTGGAGCAAGGGCACTAAAGGAGACGAGGAGGAGAGCGAAGAATGAGGAGGGAGGTTAGAGCTGAACGACCTTCAGTATGATTCAGAGCTGCCAGTTCCTGACAAGAGTTCAAACAAACAGCGTGACTGAACAGACACCAGGTAGAACTTGGCAGAAATAGCCTGAATGATAGTGTCAGCACTAACAAAGTGACCAGTACAGACACAGTACCCTCAAAATCAAAGGATATTTGGTCTGAAAGCAAGCCTTAGTATGCAGACTTCCAGGGATTTAGTTGTTAAAGGAAATTCGTTGAGATCTTGTCCTGCAGTCGAGTTTTCAGTGTCGTTGAATACTTGTGTCCGTAGAGTTTCCTCTAATGTAGTCGATATAAAGTTAGCAACTACTTGTTGATTGTGCCAAATTAGCACATGTAGACAGCAATGGTTCAGACAAGCACTGATAATCCATGATGAGGAATAATCGCTATATACGTCATGCAAGGTGAATCAGAAGTCAAATGTTGCAACTTCATACAGCCAAGAATATTTGATGGAAGCCATTTTCCTCAATTTTGAAAGGATAGAAAACAATAACTTGAAGAGCTTAGAGAGATTTCCGAAAGCATTACCTGAAACCGAAAGTTTAGAATAGAGCTTAATGTGAATAGTTGTGTCAAATACCGCACTTTAAAATGGCCCTCAAACTACCAGGTACACTGGTTCATCCCAGATCTGCCAAAGAACGCTTTGACTGAGAGACTGAGGTTTTGTGTTTTGAAATATAGATTTATTTTTCTTTAAATAAAGCTTATGATCTTAGGAAGATTACATTTATTTAGCGTAATTATGGTACTACTCACATATATTGATATGTAATATCCTAAATGTGACTAAAGACAATATCTATGAGATGGAGATAAGTACATGCTACAAATGTCACTGTATTATTCAGTTATTCCTGTCTTAAAAGTATATTTGAAAAGGCATACAGTGGGCCCAGAAAAGTATTTGGGCATTTAAGTCAGACTTATATATTGTAATTGGAATACGTAACAAAATAACTGAACCAAGCAAAGCACAACACATCACAAAAAGATGCCTGTTTGGTTTAAATAAAAAAAACAGTTAACTGTATGATATAATCAAACATTTCAATTCAATTAAGTAATTCAATTAAATGAAGTTAAATATATACACAACAAAAAATGACCTTGAGACCATATGGTGAAAAGTGATTGCAAAAAAGTCCCAGAAATGTGAAATTTGTACTGAGAAAAGGTTCCGCATTCTTCATTTGCTGATGTCCCTTATTTTGTTTTCTAACAGAATGACATTCACACATTTTTAAGTGTGACTTAAGTGTCCAAATATGTTTTGAGGCCACTGTACATTCATGTGTCTTCAGATTGCTGTGTCGACTAATAATAATACAGTGTATAACTAAATGGCATATATTTCTGTTCATAATGTCAATTCCATCACTTCCAAGAAAATTATTTTGTCAGTAGACCGTGTGGGGGAAACTATTTTCGAATGTCAGAAAAAGACATTTGATTGTTTGTGTTTTCCTTTATGAATAGTTCTATCAGTCTTGCTTCTTTCATATCCTTATTTGAAAGTGCTTCATCTGTCTATAGAATTAGGATAATGTATTTTGCACAATTTCAAGAATCACGTTCATTAATATCCTAATGTCTATCACCATCCTCTGTTCCACTGTTGCTGCCCATAAACAGATGCTCTGGATGTACTATTTCGAGAATATATAGCTCTTCTTCCCAGACAGGTATCACAACTTCATTTTTGCAGTGCATGAATAATTAATTGGATCTGTGAAATGAAGCACACAGAGTGCTAGCCTTCAAAAATATTGGGGATGGAAAAAGAAACCATTGTGATTCAAAGAGCATCTTATTTTAAACGAATTCTATTCTGCTCACACAACTTCAGCCATCATATTGTGTTGGATGTAAGAAACACGAATGCATATTAATGTAATGTAAATGTTCTGGTGTCAGGACACGGTTGACCCGTATGCACAATCTTTCAAAGCTAGACTGTAGCATGGTTTCATCAGCAGAAATCAAACCTGCAGCTATAATATTGTCATATTGAATGATTTCATGTTTTTTTTTTCATATATATACTCAACTATTTATAGCTGTTCAACCAACCAGAAAAAAAAAATCCAATACGTCTATGAATATGTATGTATTTGCAAACGAAATGAGGTATTATTGTTAAAAATTTAAATTATATAGGAATGCTGTAGACACTTACTATGCCATGATAATAGAGCTGTTCAGTCATGACGTCCATTTGTAGGTAGACCTCGGCATAGTTTTCTGTTGCAATTTCGAATGGGTTATTTGAATAGCATTTTTGTTTTTTTTTGCATTATGAAATAAGAAATAAAAAGTAATAATAATAATGAGAGCAAACGATATAATTTAGACATGTATGTTTGTTCTACAACATACATTATACACAGTCAAACCTCAAATGCGAAATTTGCAAAAAATAAAGATGTGTTTTTAAAGCATAAGTTGCTAAAAGGTTGCTATATAAGGAGAATCAGTTATAAAATTATGCATCTTATTTGAACTTATATTTTAAATTGTTAAATCATAAATCAAAAACTGCTAACTTATTTGAAATTCCTGAGGAAACTCGTGACCCGTAATTTTTTAGTGCTACAAACAGAACAATAGCTGATTTTACATGGATTGGATGCAAGGTTTTGCAGAATAACGGTATTTGCAATGACAAAATGCATCAAATTTCAATAATCAATACTTTCCTACATTGTCTACAATAGCAAGTAAAATCTAGTGTGTTCATTGCTGTACCGTCTGTTTCTGAATTCAGTATGTGTCGTTTGAAAAGAGCCCAGAGCTCCCAGCGTCAGTCATATCCTGTGTCATAACTGTCACGCTGAGCGATGTAGTAAAGATGTGTGTTGCATCATAACGTGGAGTATATTTGTTCTCCGTCTTAACTGAACACCACATATACCTAGAAAACCAACTACTATGTAGTTACAGTACAAAGAAAGAGGGAAAAATGTAAATGAAGGTTTTTCTTGCATGACCCAGTGGCGACATCATCCAGTACTTTGTTTTTACTCCATATGGCAGTGCACTGTTGATGAAATACAATATCATATTAAACAGTAAGCTATTTTTGACTGATCTTTTATTTCTTTACATTGATTTTCATTATTCTTACCATTCCTATAGGTAGCAATGTCCAGCTAAAACAGATGTGTTTAAGTGTTACATTTCCACATAACGATTGATTAGCCATGAATCTAATGGATTTAGTCATTTTAGGAACAAAAAATGTGAAATTGGGTTCTAAACACTAGAAGACACTGTACTGACTAATTTCACACCCCAGTATTAACGCTTGTGACGTCATTCCATGGGTGATAATTAAGGCCCAATCCCAGTTCTACCCCTTAGCCCTTGCTCTTTCCCCTACCCCTCCGTTTTGCGCGTTCATGTGAAGGGGTAGGGGTGTCTCAATTCTCTTTTGGTTGGAGGGGTAGAAAAGTCATAATTTGTTTTATGTTACATTCAATCGTGAGTTCATATTTACGGTCATGTTACTCAAAGAAATGTTTGCAAAAAATCGCTAATATTTGCTAACTAACAGCATATCATTATAGACTGCACGATAGCCCAATTCTTAGGGGAATATTTTCACCCCTACCCCTTGACACTCTGTTTCAAGGGACAAGGGGAAGGGGTAGGCGAAGGGGTAGGAGAAGGGAAAGGGGTATAAAATAGAATTGGGATTGGGCCTAACTGTCAGGTCATGTCTGCGGTCTGTCAGGACCACAGATAACTTCTCTGGGGCTTAAGCTCTGGATACCCTCAGCAATCAATGAATAGCATGTTTGGCCAGATATCTTTGTAGATCTGCAGAATAAAATGATGAAAACAATATATTTAGTTAAGTTACAATCTCTCTCTTTAACTGTCAAATATTCACCCGTCACTTTAAGACAGTTGATAGGTGTTGAAATGTTATTGATTCCAAGCTTTGTGCAATTCTGGGAAAATCATTCACTCACCCTCATGTTGTTCCAAATCTGTATGCATTTTTTGTTTTGAGAAACACAAAAGTAGATATTTTAAAGAACTTTTGGTAACACTTTAGAATAGGGAACACATATTCACTATTAACTAAGAGTTTTCCCTCAGTAAAGTAACGTAGTTGTTAAGTTTAGGTATGGGGTGGATTAAGGGATCTAAAATATCATGCAGAATAAGGGTTAGTTCACCCACAAATCACCCCCGAGGCATCCTAGGTGTATATGACTTTCTTCTTTCAGACGAATCCAATCGGAGTGATATTAAAAATTGTCTTTGATCTTTCAAGCTTTTTAATGCCACTCAGTGGGTGTTGCATTGCTTCAGTCCAAAAGAACTTAAATAAAAATCACCCATCCATTAATAAAAAAGTGTCTCACATGGCTCGGGGGGTGAACAAAGGCCTTCTGTAGCGAATTGATGTGTTTTTGTAAGAAAACTATCCATATACAAAACGTAATAAGCACTTTAATGTTGCTTGCGCCAACAGTTGTACACCGAAGCAGTTCCGGGAGCATGATGTATGAGGTCAGCGTTGCGCATGCACCGGTGAGTCTTGTGAAAACCAACGTTTGTTTACAGGATCAAAGGAAAACCAGTCTCCTCTTGGCTTATATCGAAAGCCTCTGACATTCTTCTTTACAAATCCTCATTTTGTACTTCTAATTCTCGACCGTTGTTTTGTTTTGATCTCTCCCCTGCGTTTCCGCCACTTTGGGCCACTAGTTGTTAAGTTTAGGTATGGGGTGGATTAAGGGATCTAAAATATCATGCAGAATAAGGGTTAGTTCACCCACAAATCACCCCCGAGGCATCCTAGGTGTATATGACTTTCTTCTTTCAGACG